AGGGACAGTTAGGGGCGGTTTAGGGTGGTTAGGGGAGGGTGGGCGACCAGCACGGGTGGTCACGGGTGGGTGCGTACAATTATTGGTAGGTACGGGTGGGTACATGTAAAGAAAACTTGGGTAGGGTAGGGTACGGGTGGTTAACAAACGATTTGGGTTCTAGTGGCCATGGGTGGTTTTGAAAAAAAATGTTCATGGGTAGGTATGACCAGTTACATGCTGAAGAGGTTCAGGTAGGGTAGGTCTGGATATACTTTCTTTTTTTTTCAGCAGGTGGAGATCGGTAAACTTTGGTTGGATAAAAGCGAAGCCGATAACAGCGTGAACCGAGATCAGCTTTAACACATCACACAAGCATGCTAAAAGGATAACACGCCAAAGTATGTGTCGCTCGGAAAAAGTTACTCAAACTCTCTAAAAAAATGAGTTACAACACCAAGAGTTCGGCTCTTCGACAGATAGGAAAAGAAAGCACCAAGAGGAAATACCATAGCCATACGAGCTATGGTGTTGGAACATCGTCCGCTAGCGAGCGATGGTTGGCTACCCTCTACCGGTTTTGGCTAGAGCCAGATCTAGCCTCATCAGGAGGGATGAACAAGTTCCGAGATGACTGGTAAGTTGGGATACTATCTAATAAATACCGAAGTGTTACCCTTCAACTCCCGGTACGTTTTCTCCGCCCTACCTTGTAATCTAGTAGTACCTCCGGTAGTCCTTAAGTTCAAAGCGTGTTTATCAAAAAAGGAAACAGAAAAGGAAACTAGATAAAATCCTCCGAGGATATTCCACAGAAAAACTTCGAGGATTTGAGTCATGTTTGTCGTTTTCGTCACCGTAGGCCTGATGTTTTCCCGAAAAAAAAATTCCTATAGGTGGCGGGGAGAAAACAGGCTAGTTCAATACTTCTGTATCTCCGAAAATATTTTCGGTAGTTTTGCAAACCAAAACGTTTTAAGTGATCCTCAGTAAGTCCAAAAGAAATCCTAGCTCTATATTTTTACATCTCTAAGAACTTCCTGGTAGTCCGTGAGCGCGACAACGTTTCAACTGGTACTGAGTACATCCCAAGAAATCTTTCAAAATCTGAGTTTAATTCGTCGTTTCGTTCCCCGTTCCAAAGCCAGTTGGATCTACGCTATTGAAAAAAGGAAAAGGAAAACTCAGATATATCTGCAGATAGCGTGAATCTGAAAATCTATACGATTAAACTTTAAAGCTTTTATGGAATTACCAGCCGCAAAATTTCTTACCACAAGTGTCCCAAGTCGGAGCTCGTCTCAGAAAAAATTTACTCAGGCACTCGTCAAAAAAAAATCCTGCGTAATCTTGCAGGCGCAGAAGCCTTTTCAGGGAAAGTAACCCTAGTCCAGTTAATTCGACGTTCGAGGTCATCCGATACAGTCTGTGCAGGCAGCATGTTATTACCGCCTTCTTATGAGGAACAATTGAGTAAGAGTTAAAATCCTGGATCGTTCGGAAGGTAAGTTCACCGGTTTCCCAGATTTCTTTGAAATTTTTCTGAATTAACTGGGGTCGTTACTTTCTTCCCTGGCTCAATTTAACCCTCGTTCCCAAGAAATCTCATTCTCCCCTTTCCTCATCCGTACGTTCCAAAGTGAGAGCCTTGTCATAGGCCGTCCGGAAAAGGTTTAGAATCTTCCTTGCCTTGTAGTTTCCCTTTCTTTCATCACACCCAACAAAGAGTGATACGTCATCCATGAGACATATCCCCTTTACCAACTTCTTATCCGTACCCAGGCTTGATAGGAATTTAAACTCGTTGAAAGCGCAAAGGATACATGCCAAAGGGGGGCTTGTACTTTTCCCCATGGGGATACCTGTTTTTTGTCTGATGATTCTCTCTGCTGCCATGACATAGGTGTTACAAAGTTCAAAAAAGATCATGTGACGAATCTCCTCAAAGCAGATGGTTAACCAACTGTCGAATGATGCCCCTTTGCCCCTTCTTTTTACTGTCTGTTTGTTTTCCCCTTTCATCTTGTAGTACTGCAGTAGCCATTCGAGAGATTCAATGATAGAATCATGAGGTAGTCTGCTAAACATTTCTTTGATATCAAACGAAGCGTAGAGCAGGTTACCTTTTTTCTTTCCAGCCCAGTTATTAACTTATGTTATCCGTTTTGTCAGCAGATCGGTTGATTTCAGGTTAAAGTGCAGACTCTTAGGTAGAAGAAACAAAAGGTGATTGAGGGCGCGGGCCACCCGACTTCCAGCCATTCTAGATGGTTCATTCAAAGATGGGCTGATCGGCCGGAATTTCGACAGGTATTTATTTTTGGTAATTATATAGGCACGCCCATATCTTCCCAATCCATCCCACTTTTCGATTCTTGTTAATCCTTCTTTTTTATATTCCTTTTCAAAATTTACCAGAATCTCTGTTTTCGATCTCCATTTGATTTGAAAACTGTTATTTCCCCAGAAAGTATCTTTTATTCCCTTCGCGTAGATTTCAAGACACATAATAACTGTTCTATTGGATTCTTATTCACCGCCGTCAAAACAAAGTGACTTCTCAATTGTTTCAGATAATCCAGAGAGCTGGGGTCAAAGTTTCTCTCGAGTGATGATGTTTTCAAACAATCTTCCGCTTTATCCCTTGATATAGGTGTATCTACTCCTATTTCTATCAAAGCATCATTAATTTTCGTCAAAAACCTTGTTTTTCTCCTAGTCTGATCGGGAAAGGTGACGTTTCTAGCATTTCTTAGAAAACGATCTACACTTTCCAAATAGCTTACTCTACATATCATGTGTCCCCCTTCAGTCGGGAGGTTGAATTCTGCAAAATTGGAGATTCCCAGCGGGATCTGCGCAGCAGTCCGGTGGTTATGAAGAATGTCAGCAATTGTTCTATTTTTTCTCCTGATTGTTCTGAGTTTCTTACACATGAAAATAACTTCAGCTAGCGGAAGGAGATCGAGTAGATGATTAGTTAGGACTTTCCTTATCCCTTTCTTTCGTAGACCGTCATCATATGTAACCGCTACACAGTGTTTTCTACGTGTATTAAACCCAAATTTCTTCCATAAGATCCCCCCCAGTACATCTCTCAGATTACTACGACAGATGGCTTAGGTAAGAAGATATGTTGCCAGGAATAATTAAAGTAGAACTTCCAATATTAATTTGTATAACTTCTTTTTAGCCCATGAATTCTTCAAAATTTTATATAGAGTATTTTTGAACTTTTTGTTTCGCTTAGATATCGTTCCACCTTTTAATTGGTGAATTTTAATATTTTCTCCATCTTCGAGTATATTCTTCAGTTATTCAGCGGTAAGACATTAGCATTTATTGAGAAAGTGGTGAGTCCGATTTTTCCAATTACCGTCTTCCATTCAGGAACCCAAATCTTACCTCCAGACGAAGAGATTTCTTTGTTTCCTTCTACCGCCGTCCTACAAATATTGATTAAGTTAGTAGATATGAAATTTCCAGTTTTTAAAACGATAGGCATTTCATCCAGGAAAATCTGACATCTAGCTTTCTTTCGTTCTTTCCTACCTTTACGGTTTTTCTTCCTAGAAACCCGCTTTGGATAGGAGGAATTAAGTGTAGGAGACCATCTTTTAATAAGAACTTTCTCCAGATTGATTATGTCATAAGCCGGGACGAAGGCAATCGGGAGGGCAATGTAGTTTTTAATCCCCCGGTTGCGTAACCAATTGTAGAGTTTAGAACTAATAGTAGATAAAGAGTTATTAGTATGGTAATAATGTTTGTTCCATCTTTCCGAGAGTGATCGTGAGGTTTGTCCTACATATGATGCACGACATCCTGGGTTAAGTAGCACATAAACACAAGAATTCAGGTTATCCCATTTATCCCGATCCTGATTAATAAGATATACCCAACTTTCTAAGAATTTCGTACCCCAGTTTAACTCACCTTGACATACAAGAATAACGATGCATAATCTCATTATCTTCTCAATATCTAATCTAAGTTGTTTCGTATCAGCGGTTGCCCTACTAGTTAGTTGGTGTTGCAAGTCGAGATAGAAATGAAGGTCACTCCACACGTCAGTCTTCGGACGGATCGATGTTGTCGGTCTGGTTGTTTGGTGTTCTCAGGGCTCGGATGACGCTTGATGGTTCACGGATCATAATTCCACCCTGCCGAGGTGTGTGAGGTTTCTTGAAAAAATACATAACCCTGATTTCCACAAGCTCATCAGTGGCTTCAAGTCTTCCTCGGTAAGCCATTCCTGCTTCCCTGCACATCTCTTGTATTGTATGCACACTCTTCCTTGCCAAAAAAATTTGAACCTGTTTCCTGAAAATGGCTTCCGTCTTACTGTCTTCATCCACAGGAGCGCCCTCCCATAGAGCTGATTCACTGATAGAGAACCCTTTCCCTTCCCTTCGAGCTTTCCCTCTTCCTTTCTGGGTTTCCCCCATATTGCATTCATCCACAATTTTCGTTGGTGGTTCTTCGTTTGTTGATGGTCGTACAATCTTGGTTGGTGTTCCGACCGGGCTGGCTTGTCCTCCGGAAGTCTGCCCCGCTGGCCTCTTCCGTTTCTCCAATCTGTCTTCTTGTATCTCTTCCTCGTCTTCCTCGGAGTCTGAAGGTGTGGGCGATGGTGTGGTCTGTTTGGCCTTAGCTTTCACAGCCTTCTCTAATATCATTACCTTCTTCAATCTTGTCTCCAATCTTCTCTCGAATTCTTCCTCCAAAACCTCCTCTTTGTTTTGGTAGCATTTTTTCGAACTCCCAATTCCTTTTCGCCTCCTTTAACTCCTTAGCCTTCTTTTTCTCTAATGCCAGTCTATTCGCTTCTTCTCTCGCTGTTTTTTCTTCCTCTGCTTTCTTCTTACTTTCATCCTCCTCCTTCTTCTGTTTTCTCTCCTCCTCTCCTTTCTCCATTTGCCTTTGTACGAATGTTGCCATGCTCTTGAGCGAATCTTCCACATCCTTAATTAGTATTGTTGTTGGTGGAGCTTCAACGCAAGCATTTGAACTACTTGACGTCTCATTCATGTGCGGCGCTTGGTAGTTAGTCTGCTGCGGCGTTTGGTAATTTAGTTGTTGTCCTTGGAAGTACGGTCGTTGATTATTGCATTCTCGCGCGATATGTCTGAACTGTCCGCAGTTGTAGCATTTAGATCCTCTTCGTTGACCTCCTCCTTCATTGTTCCATCCTCCTCCGTTGTTTCCCCCTCCTCCATTGTTGTTCCAATTTCCTCCGTTGTTCCAGTTACCTCCATTTTCGTTACTACCTCCCCCGTTACTCCAGTTTCTTCCGTTTCCACTATTCCAATTTCCTCCGTTCCCGTTATTCCATCCTCATCCATTTCCATTCCATCCTCCTTGGCGTCCTTGTCCCCCTTGTCCTCCGTTCCATCCTCCCCCACCTCCTCCTTGAGGTGGTCCAGGCAGTCCTGTTCCGAAACCGAAACCGTCGTTTCCATTTATCCTACCTCTACCTTCTCTATCGTTTCTCTCTTAGGTAACTTATACAAATCTCCCCTTTGTATCCTCAGGCGATATACGCTCCGCAGTGGTGATGGTCTAACTGGTTAGCTAGCTAGTTTTCTAGTGCTTCAGGGCCACCAAACCAGACGATCGCGTCCTGGCTGGTTGCCACTGTCATTACCGATTGGAGGAAAGCGAAGCCGATAACAGCGTAAACCGAGATCAACTTTAACGCATCACACAAGCATGCTAAAAGGATAACACGCCAAAGTAAGTGTCGCTCGGAAAAAAGTTACTCAGACTCTCTGAAAAAATGAGTTACAACACCAAGAGTTCGACTCTTCGACAGATAGGAAGGGAAAGCACCAAGAGGAAACACCATAGCCATACGAGCTATGGTGTTGGAACATCGTCCGCTAGTGGGCGATGGCTGGCTACCCTCTACGGGTTTCGACTAGAGCCTGATCTAGCCTCATCAGGAGGGATGAACAAGTTCCGAGATGACTGCTAAGTTGGAATACTATCTAATAAATACCGAAGTGTTACCCTTCAACTCCCGGTACGTTTTCTCCGCCCTACCTAGTAATCTAGTAGTACCTCCGGCAGTCCGTAAGTTCAGAGCGCGTTTCTAAAAAAAGGAAACAGAAAAGGAAACAGAAAAGGAAACCAGATAAAATCCTCCGAGGATATTCCACAGAAATCCTTCAAGGATTTGAGTCTTGTTTGTCGTTTTTGTCACCGCAGGCTTGATAATTTTTTTTTTTTCTACATGTGGCGGGGATAAAACAGGCTAGTTCTATACTTCTGTATCTCCGAAAATATTTTCAGTAGTTCTGCAAACCAAACCGTTTTAACTGATCCTTAGTAAGTCCAAAAGAAATCCTAGCTTTATATTTCTGCATCTCTGAGAACTTCCCCGTAGTCCGTGAGCGCAACAACGTTTCAACTGGTACTGAGTACATCCCAAGAAATCTTTCGAAATCTGAGTCTAATTCGTCATTTTGTTCCCCTTTCCAAAGCGAGTTGGTCCTACGCTCTTGAAAAAAGGAAAAGGAATTCTAACAGGCCAGGAATACAGTGGGTATGGGTCGTTGGCTTTCAAAGAGGGTCTGGTTATGTCAGGTACAGGTATTCCTAAAAATCCTAGTTGCGAACTCTGGTAGGGACAGAGCAGAGGACTGGTTCTATTAAGCGAGAAGAAAGAGGTGAACGATAATGGAGAAGAGGATGGGATATGGCGGGTTTAGATCCAAATCTTTCTGTAAGCAGGAAAGAGAGGTGATGAGAATGGAGGGGTATGATGGTGTCTTCAAGGTCTCACCGTGTGGAGGATATTAGCGATTGATAGAAACTTTTCTTTTTGTTTCTTTTTTAGAAGAAAGAAGGAAGTGTGAGGATTGAGCCCTCAAGAAGGGGCCTTGCCATTATGTACATGTTCTGGGCTAAGGCCCAAGCAAGCCTCGTGCCCGCCCTAAGTGAAGGCGGGCCAGCAAATCAACAAGAGCCCTCTTACAAACATTTCACGAAGTGGGGTCCATACAGTTACAGCACGCCAGTTGGTTGGAGTGCACCGAGTATCGGAGCTCTTCAAATGCAGAAATCCCAGGGCCCCAGAGTTGGTTAGGCCCTGGGCACATAAACGTGAGGTTGACAATGCACGCTGGATATAGAGGCCGAAAATGCCAATGGGAAACCGGTCCACTATCTGAATTTGGATGCAGGCATTGATGAAAGAGGCGCGACTGCATCTCTTGGGCCCCAACCGCATTGGGCCTGGGTACAGGTACTTGGGCCCAGGCGCAGGCTCAAGGGAGGTCGCCCACATTCAAAACTGGCATATAGGCAGGGAGGGCGAGTGGACAGGGATCTTGGCCATTGCGGGCAATGCCGGCAAGCTGCGCGAATGCGAGGTGCTGTGCTGCGGTGGGCTGAGGCAGAGGCAGGCTGCGCTAAGCGGTAGAGCGCTGCCTGGGCGCAGGGCGCTGGCGGCGATAGTCGGGCTGCCTGAGGGCGAAGAGGAGGTGAAGGGCGAAGAGGAGGTGAAGGGCGAAGGTGGTTCTTCGGAGGTGAAGGGCGCTGTGTGGGATAACAAGGGAGAGTGAGGGTGAAGAGAGAGACGTACCTGGTGGAGAGGAGGTCGTCATTGGAGTTGACATCATTACTCGCTGGTCGTCAAGTTGTCTGGTTGCTTTCATGCTGTAGTTGTAGAGATAGGCTGTAGAGTAGGTAGGGCGCCTGGCGCCATTCAAGAGAGAGAGCTACATTGGGTTATGTTGTTGGTGTTGTCCGATTGGGCTTGGACATTGACTCATGATTCTTCTGTATCGTTCTCAAATGGATGGTTACTCCGTTCCATTGTGCTATTTTCTCTTGCTTTGACTACTTGGACTTCAGTTTGATTTTGCAATCTGGATTTTTGTGCTTCGTCCATATTCATGTTCCTTGCATTTTGGTATCGGAGCTGGTTTGATTCGCCACTTACCTTGGTGCGCTGGCGTTATACAGACTTGGTGCGTTGATGATGCTTCTTCGCAGTTGGTTCTTGTGACGTTAGGCCATATTAGGCGCACGACCTGGGTAGATAGGTGTGCGCCGAAAGGCTATACGGCATTGGATGCCGTGGTTACAGCGGAATGTATGATTGGTGATGAGAGCATGCTGATGTGGCATTAAGCTGAGGTGGCTCTGCATTGCGTTGTGGGTGGTACAGAGGCTACGACCGGTCATCTGTGATTGGGGGCAGCTATCTCTAGGTATGTTGTTCCCTTACCTTATCTACTCTCTCAATCTCTTCTTACCGCAAGGAAGTGAGTCCAACTTGAGAGTCCTCTTTTTTGGTGAGGTGTCGTACGCGCGCTACCTTGAGAGACGACAATCTTCCCGGAAGCATCTGGAAAGAGAAAGGGCGGTGCCTCTGAAGGGCCCTGGTCGAAGCACTGGGTCACGGTCACCATGCCAACCCAATGGGATTAGGTCACGCATGCGATGGCTGCTTGTCCATTTTGGCACTTTGCTGTGCTATAGAAGTCGTGCTGGGTGTGCCAGCCTTTTATGAGACGTTTACCAGACCGTCTATAAACATTTCTGGTTGGGGACTTGGTGTCGATACTGGCTGTGATCGTCGTCTTGTATGTGACGTTAAATAATTCCTGCGGAGATGGGGGCTCTTCTTAAATTCCTCCTGATCAGCCAGATCAACCCCGGTAGGAAGGCTCGTTCCGTACGAGGGTAAATAAGAGTGGACTGGATGGCTTGCTCGGCAATGACTTGGGGCACAGGGGTGGGCCGACAATACAAACGAAGACACTGCTGCTCAAAGATGTTTTTCGGTATGTTGGATTAAGGGGAGGGAAGGTTCTAATTGGTGCTCAACTGGAAAACACAACCATACCCACTGTTCATACATCTGCAACATAGTCTGGTTTTATTTTGATTAGTTGGTTGACAGACTGCTAATACCTCACAAACAGTTTAGTATTAGGGCTGTTGTATACTACCATAGCCAGTTCTATGCAAACTTCTGTAAGTGAACTAATCATGACAAGACTGAACTATGTAGATAGTCTTTTGTGAATGTTGTAGGCTGCCACTTGATCGGTCAAGTAGGGGACCTGCCAGACACATTTATTTTTGGAAAATTAGGTGTCGGTCAAACACATGCTGTGGTAGGACTCCAGCAGGGGGTTGCAGTGCAGATAGTGTTTGCCTAACTGATGAGCGGGCCTGACACCGAGGAGGGTGGAGTTGACGACTTGAGACTCACACGTTCGGGATCACTTGGGGTCCCGCATGTGTTCCAGACCTTACAACCGGAAGACGAAAGACGGCTTCGTGTCGAACGCAGAGCCCGTGCTCTAGCAGCAGCCGAGGAAACAACACTAGCTGCAAGTCAGGCATTGGCAGCAGCAAACGCAGCAGCTAGAGAGCAGGCAGCAACAGCCAGAGCAGCAGCAACTGCTAATGGCGCAAGCTCTGCTGCGTCCTCGTCTGGGGCCCAGTTGGGAATGCCCCTTGGGCGCACGGGTGCTTCCGGGGCAGTAAGTTCTAGTCAGTCCACAAGTCAAATGGCAAGCTCGCAGTTAAGCCCGTTGACCCCACGCGGCAGGGAGCTCCTAGAGCTCCAACAGGTTGAAAGGATCCGCGAACGGTTAGAGAGGGAACTGAGGCAAGCAACCGATAGAGAAAGAGAGATTAAAAATAGAACAGCCAGGCTTGATACGTAAAAATAGAACAGCCAGGCTTGATAAGTAAAAATAGAACAGCCAGGCTTGATACGTTAGAGGCAGACAAAGCTGCATTAGAGGGCTTAGATGAGTCAGCCATGTCTGACCGAATGAAAGTGTTGAAGAACAGTATGCTGTCGCTGCATGCGCATGTGGACAGTAGACTGGACTTCATGTAGAATTCTCTGGACCAGATCTTGGACCTTTTGCAAAGGCCAGGATTTCGGCCAGCAGCACAGTCGTCGTTGCCGTTAATGGCGATGTCAGGCCCCTTTCCGGTTCAAGCTGGCACGCAGCCAAGTGGTACGTCTGCAGCGGCCGCACAGACTGTTGCTTCTTCTTCTTCTGGGTCAGCGGTGGTTGCTACACCATCACCGCAACAAACTGTTCCTCAACAGGGACAACAACAAGGTCAATGGTACCCAAAGACCCCTATGAAATTGCCCCTTGCCTTCTCGGGAGAGAAGAAGGATGAGGAACTAAACACATGGTTGAGAACGGTTCCAGTGTGGGTAAAGGCGAAGAGGACTTTGCAGGAGGAGGAGGTGATTACTGCTGCATCTTACCTTGAGGGTAAGGCAGCCAAATGGCTGGATGGTTTAGTTTCAAAGGCCAGGTATGGACGACGCATGGCGGACTGGGCTAAGACCATTACGTTAGACCAGTCCTTAGAAATGGTAGAAGCTCTTTGGCACAATCCACATCAGGCACAAATTGCCACTGATGTGATGCATAGACTAGACCAAAGAAAGTTCAAGTCAGTCAGAGAGCTTACGACTACCGTAGAGAGCCTCATCATCGTTCCTGGCATAAACTACGATGACCGGTTCTTGCTGACCACGTTTGTGAGATGTCTCCCAGAGAATCTCAGAAATTTGCTGGCCAGCGAGGCTCGCCTCGAATATCACTAATTTGAGACCTTATCTAAAAAAGTTGGGGCCAGAGTAAAACAATTTGCTGGCCAGCGAGGC